AGTGAGAGAATGTTTGAATGAAGGGTATAAATTGTGACGAATAATAATAATAATAATTGTAATAATAAGCAAAGAAAGAAAAAACCAAGATGGTTAAGGGAAAGATACTCATGGGGATATTCTATCGCAGCGTTTGACGAGGAAGACAAAGAAAACTGTCTACTCTGCACATCTCTTCCTATCCTTTAGTAGCCGTGTTCACCAAGCAACTCAAAAATGTCTTAACTAACCTTAGCTTTTCTCCATACATATACCATTTCAACTGTTCCTGTGGTTCAAGTTATATAAGGCGCACGATTAGGCAGGTTCGTCTACGGGTTCGAGAACATTTACCAGCTTGGTTAAGCAGGCGGGGGGAAATTGTGTGCATAAGAAGCTCTATCCTGTCACACTTGGTCGATACTGGACATCGCATCACCACCAACACAGCTTTCAGGGTTATATACCGAATTCCGAAGTCGTTATCACGCACAGTTCGCTTACGTCTTCTACACATAGCTGAAGCTGTTGCAATAAGATTGACTAAATCGCAACTTTGTATCCAAAACGAACACGCCCAGACTCTGTTCCTACCGTGGCCAAGCTTGGATCGATGATTCTTCTTCTCATCAAGAGTGCTTCTTTCTCTTAACCCTCTCGGTTTTTTCTTTCTTTGCTTGTCATTACAATTACTATTATTATTCGTCATAATTTATACCCTTCATTCAAACATTCAATACTATCGAATTTTTCATTCATACTATTCGGACTTATTATTAGTGATATTAACTCTTTTCTCAATATATGCCTCACATATTTTTTATCTCATTATGAACCTCTGATTGCAGTCTTACTATCTCCTCCTATTTAATATATATCACTTTGTACTAGCCACTCACTCAATTGACACCTTTAATAACCTTGAACTATGCTGTCGATTTTCCTACCCCACATTCTACGAATCTATTATGACTAATCACCACCATTGTCTCCTATTTCACCGATATATTTTGTAATCGATTTCAGCCTAGCATGTTTGTCACACAAATACGACTATTTATTTTGACACCCCATAACTGCTAATATGTTAATCTACATTAAAAAATGTATCCGCCGCATAACTAACTGGCTATCATGATTGTGACGACAACAAATATTATATTTTATAATTGTAAGAACCTGAAGAGGAGAACGTATTGAAAAGAATATTCTTTGTTCAGATTGACTTTTAATTCATGACATGGGAATATTTCACACTATTACAATATTATATAAATAGTTGTTTGCATTCACTCACATTTTGTGGGTCGGTGGCACAGCGGTAGGATGCTCGCCAACCACGCATGTGGTCCGTGGTTCGATCCACGGCCGACGCACTCCTTTGCCTCTCTAAACCGGTAATAAGACTGGTGAAGAGGGAAGGTTGAGGCTAGCATGAGCACGAGGCTAGCAAATCCATTCCGTAAAAATAAACACCACGTTTTTCCATGTTACACTATTCTTTTGTTCTCATGTACATTTCTGCTCAGTTATATAGTCCTTTCTTCTACCTTTACCTTGCTACATGGAGGGAGTGTGACAAGTTGAACTGGTGGCACTTCTCTACAGAGCTCTATGTTAAAATCTTGTTAGACATACCTTTTTCACGAGCTGATAACATTCACTGTTTCCAACTATGATGTTATGGCTTAAAAAGAATTTCAGCTACTACTGTATGTAGTTACTTACACTACACAACCCCTGATATTATTTCTCTATTCATTTAGTGTAGGAAGAGTAGAACATGGGTAGTTTTGGTAAAACTCTTAAATGTGATACTTTTACTTTGTTTATCTCTGAAGCAAAAATTTCTTTCTCAGCATATATTGTATACATACACTTATATAATATCGTGTGGACAATGCGTTTTAATACTGTTCTCAGGATGTTTTTCTAGTTGAAGTAGGAAGAGAAGCATCTACATTTCGTATAGAAGTACCCTGATTCTTCATCCTAGGGTGAAACAGCTGTCCAGTACTCCCTGTGGCTGGTTTTCAATGGCTCTCTAACTGATATCAATCCGTGGTCAAACTCGTAAAAACAAATCTAATCCTTACAAACCAACTCTTGAAAATTAATCCTATGCTCGCTAGTGACTTGCTACAGAACGGAGTTCCCTGAAGTGCTAGTGAGAAGTAGTGACCAGTGAGTTCCAACCAGTCAAGTGTGAGTATAGATTTCCAACCGATGACATTGGTTGGTGCCAGTCGCGCTGAATCACCAATTGGTAGGAGTTAGAATTTATGCAATGGCCATTGAATCGGGTCCCAGTGTCTGAATGGTATACGAGCCAGCTTGCCTTGTAACCGGAAGGTCCTGGGTTTGAATCCTACTGTGGTGGGTGCGCGCTGCCGACGAGCCTCAAACTAGAACCAGCTGGCTCCTTAAACGTTTATCTTCTCCATATTACTGTTGGATACCTAACTCGCGGTTTCGGCTTCCACTCGGGAGAGTACCTGGTGTGTGTCGTCAATCAACAGTCTTCTCAGTGTGTGTTATAACTGTAGGGAATTAAATGAGGACGTTGTTGCCTTGTTCTGTCTGCGCCTGACTAATATGCTTATGTGCTTGTGGTACCTTCCGATTCAGTGAACCACGCAAATATCAAAAGACTAAGGCTGGCCTGTGACTGTATATTGTAGTACAACAACTACGACAGAGAACTTATTTAGGAAAACAACACATGGTATTTATACATTTTTTACAACAATACAGACAGCTAACAGCATTTGAAATAACTGATCATAATAATCAATAACAAAGTGCGTGGGAAATGATGATATACCATTTATGCGAGATTAACAGCCGTTGAAATAATTGATCAATAACAAAGTGCGTGGGATCCTATCACCTCTCCCCGTAAAAAGTGTAGGACTTGCTTTTTGGATTTATTTGAAAAGGTTTCGGAGCTCTTCTTTGTCGGGTTGACCTTCGCGTGGTACTGAATAGAGTGTGATCTGTGTCCCGGGCTTCCGGCTGTGGAAGATTAAATGTATCTACTAATACTTCTAACTTGAGGTCTCGTCTCCCATTGTCGGGTCTATCTGACGCATCTCGTATATGATTCGTGTGTCTGACACATAACTGTCCTTCTACATTCACTTTGTATAAAACCCTTTCTGCCCCACTATTTGTCCTCGAATCCATCTCGGAGGTGAATAGCGAAAATCTCGTACATAAACTTGCTGATACAATTTGAACACTCGACGTTTATCTCCGTGATGGCGATTGCATTGGTTTTCCATTTTTGTATTTCTGCAACCCTGCTTTACTTGCCTAGGCTTAATTGAGTCGAGGGCAGTTCTGATCTTCCGGCCAAACATAATTTCCGCTGGGGATAACTGATTTGGGGCGGAAGGATTTGGCGTCGTACGATAATGCAGCAAGAATTTATCCAAAATTTCTTCTGTTGTTCCCTGTCCCTTCGCTTTTGCATAAGCACGCTTAAAGGTGTCGACGAAACGTTCAGCGTGCTTTTGACGCCGGCGTTGCAAGAGAGACTGATCAGATACATGTCCGGGAACAACGTTATTTGGTGGGGACGAAACATTAGAGCATACTGAATTTAATGGTACATTGAAGATATGGAGCTTGTCTAACCAGTCAAGACCAAGCAAATTCAAATCATGGTAGTTTGTGACGTAACATACACCATTGAACTGATGCTCACCAAACTGAACCTGGCAATTTATCTCACCCACGAGTTTCAGCATATCTCTAGAGGCATTCTTAGCGACATGCTCGGTCGGCAGAATCTGTGGGCACCCAAGTTTGCACCACGTAGTTTGGGAAATTAAGGTGATATCTGAGGCCGTATCCAACTGAAGACGAATAGGTTTGCCGTTAATATCTAGTGTAATGTACTTACGTTTGCTGGCGAAATCGACTTTGGAAGTTGTGAAAATGGTCTGTACTCGAGGAGATTGTTTCGGCTTGAAACGACTGCTTCTGTACCTCACCGAAGAATTTTTCTGCGGTGGACAGTAACCCTCTTTATGTCCGAAACGGTGACAATTACGGCATTTATGTTTCTTGAAAGGACAGAACTTGACAAAATGCCACGAACCACAGTGCCAGCACACTGAAGGAGGTTTAGCTGAATTCTGAGACTGACGTGCTGTGTGCTTAACGGTGATCGGAGGACTTTTCACTGTGTTAATTGAACCAAACTCAGACGACTGTCGTTTGCACTCCACCATAGCAGTATTGTGCTTCAAGTTGATTAAGCGTTGGCATTCTGCTGTCACCATTTGTAAAGTCATTTTCGGGTCTTGTTCCACGAGTGACAGAAGTCGAGTTCTTATGTCAGTATCTTCTGGGTTCTTCAACCCACAAATAAAAATCAAACACTTGAACTGATCTGATGTCATTTCGTGTGGTTTGAACCTTTCGCATTCCTTGTTCACTTTGCCAGCGTAAATGACATAATCATCGGAAGGCATTTTTGTCAACTGAAAACATTTTAAACATGGATGACTGTTCACCAAAGATTTGTGATAAAACGGTGACTGTCTCATCGAATGATAACTCACGTGGGTTCTTAGGCAGAATGAAGTTAACATATCTGTTGTGCTCAACAGTACCAAGTTTTCTCAGTAACAATCGGACTTTGGCAGCATCATCAAACATCAAAGTGTGTGGGATCCTATCAGTGTGCATCCGATTTATCTCCATTTCCTACTACAGCATATTTGTTGGGCATTAGGTTTGTCCCGAGATTTCCCTGTTGCTTATCCTTTGTGGTCATTTAACTTTTAGTGTCGAGCGAAGTGGACAGCTCTTGATGAAGGCTGCAGTCGCCTGTTCGAAATACTTTTCGTGGTAACCGCGCACCAAGTCCCTGATTTGACATTAGCATTGATAAAGAAAGTGTTCTTATATACAGAGAGAGTATTTATTATTCAACTTATACCATTTAGAAATAATGAATAAAACAAGAAATCTCTTAATTGTTATTTTATTTATTATATTATATTATATAGGTCGATGTGATGGACAAGGTTTTAATGGATTGCCTGTTATTCCATCTGGACAACAAGGAGACAACACCGATGCCTTACAACGTAGTAGTAATAATAACAACCAGTATAATACTGGATTTCCATTCTCTTCAAATCAATATCGTTATCAGTCATTTGAGAATAATCAATACACTACTAATACTACTACTACTACACAATCATCAGTATCTTCTAACAATCGATTAGTTAGTGAACAACAATTATCGCATAACAACAACAACAACTCAACTACTGAATACTGTTCAAATTCAAATACAAACTATGTAGAACACAATCCTGATGGTCGTAGTATCACTACTACTACTACGACGACTACGCCTACTACTATTACTAATACAAGTCTACGTGATAATTATTCCCTTTATCCTTCCCATCATCTTCGTCAAGCTTCTACTACTATGCAAAACACATTAGGTAATAATAGTAGGTCGATGGTAGAACATGCTCAAGTGAATAATAACACGGCTACTGCAAGTCAACAGCTTGCTCATTCCATTCATGAAGTATCTGGTCTAGCAGCCGCCTATGCCTACCATCAGTATCATCAACAACACCAACAACAAGCTGCTCAGGTGACGCCTACAAATCGTCAGCATCATCAAATCCCTCAAGCTCAATCAATACCACCACCCCAGCCACCTCCAAGTGCACATACACATTATCAAAATCTATTAGGTCAAACTAATCGTCCTCCCTACAACACTACTACAGCAGCAGGCCATTTAGATGAGGAGAGTTTATCTCATCATCATCATCATAATAGAGAATTAACAGCAGTAGTCCCACACCAGTCGTCACACACTGTACATTCATCAGAAAGACATGATCCAAAATCAGCTTATCTAGCTGAAACTTATCGAAATGCTCAACATATTACTACGACACCAGGAAGATTTTTCTTCTGATTTTATCATTATTGGTGTTCACAACAACTCGACATTGTTTCACCTTTTATAAAGTATAATAATGTGTACACAAGCCCACAGCATACTGTGAAATTTCATTTTTTTTTCTCTTCTTTTCTTATGAAATTATAGATTTACTGTTTTGAAACCACTCTTCCTCCTACTAATACTGCCGTACTTTTGCTGAAATAAGAAAGATTCCTACAGCTGTGACTGGATGTGATTGCTTGATTGATAATAAGTTTCGTCTCCACTTCTACTACCTCACTGCTTCTCTATTACTTCTATTCCTTGCTTCTTTCTCCTTCGTCCTTCCCACCCCCCCCGTGTCCCTTCAAACAACGATGAATCCTTCTCCTTGTTTTTGTCACTTTCTGATAACTTTTATGCAGAGAGAGAGAGAGAGAGAAACGACCAAGTTAGACTGTCTTTAACTCCTTTACTGTTTATTTATTTATTTGTAAATTGGACGAAAGTGTAATTACATATTTACATTTTTATTATTGCGCTTATCATTTGAACCCTGAAACTTTATTTAGTGTTTAACAGAGAGAGAGAGCTGTGTGGTGAGAAAAGATAAACGTTAAGGGGAATGATTAATAATAATAATAATGATCGTCGCTAATGCATTTAAGTGCAATACAATTTCCTTTAGATTACTTTCTTTTTTTTACATTTACACCTCCTTGTCATTCAATGATTTACTTTTAATTATTATTACTAATTAACAATACTCCTTTTCTTTACAAAAGTTGACTTACAACAACATCTTTCTAGGTGATGGGAGTTAAGTGCGTGCGAGAAAGAGAACAAGAATTGAGAGGTTTATCACCCCCGATCCCCTTCTCCGCGCCCTTTCAATTCTCTTGTTCTCGTTGTCGAAAATATTCAGTGATAGTTAGTTGACCAGTGTAATCTGTTATTCAACACTATGGCGCTCGTGTGTGTATTTGTGTACAGAGTATTCTTATTCGTTTCTATATGCATATACAAACATACCTGCATACATACAAATATGTGTAAGCATACTTTTTATTCTTCTGCAAAAATCAAGTGTGTTCTTCCTCGATTTTTGTGTGACTCTTCGCGGCGGAGGCGGCTGTAGTGGCCTAACACTAACACACTTCTCTTTATACATATATATACGAAGCGATCCAAACCATGTACGTACGCCTGCATGCATGCGTGCATATGTTGTATATAGACATTATTATTATTATTACTACTACTATTATTATTATAAAATGCATAGAACAAGAAAAGACACTATCGAAATTATCAGTTACACTCAGCTGGCTGGCTGGCTAGCTACAGCTCAATAATAATAACAATAGCCATTCGGGAACACTTTTTCCCCTTTCTCTATATATGTATACTCACAGGATTTAATGAGAATAATAATAATGATTTAGGATGTAAAATGACTGTGTTTTTTCCTTTTTGTACTCACTCCCTCCCTCATTCTCTGATTATTTCATTGTTTTTCTCTCCTCTGTATTTGTTTATATAAATTATAATTAAATCATTGTTGGTTTTAGATAGATATTTATATATATGTATAAATACGGTGTATATTCGAAGAATGCCTGATATATATTGATGTGTACACTAATACCTAAATGACTGGCTAGCTAGATAGCTGGCTGGCTATCATATTACATTTTTAATTAGTTATTCCATTGTGAATTGTGCAAAAAATCAAAAACAACCATCCATTTAGCTTTTTACTCAATTTGTATCCTTATAAATGTTTATATACTTAACTATTATCTTAACCACCTTTCAGACAAAATCGCAATCCCTACACCCTTTTTGTTGTTGATGTTGTTGACTGAATACTCCTCGTCTTATTATTACAAAAGTATTCAAAGTTAATTGAAGATTTGTACACCTTTTTTTTCTTCCTTTTTTTATATTCACATTTTAAAGAATGAGAATCCCTCGACGAACCATCCTTCCTGCTTGCCCGCCTGCCATCATGTGTTACATAATCCCATATTAAGAAAGTGGATAGATACCTATGTGTTTGTGGTATGCGTGTGTATGTATGTATTGTATGTGTGTATATGCTTATTGCATGATACTATCTTTTTTGTACTTTGTTAATTCTCCACCCCCACCCCATTTTTCTATTTAAACCAACGATACTCTCACTTTTTGAGTATTTGAGTGTTGTATGGCAGACAGGTGAGCTTGGAAGGAGCACCCCAACCCCCGGGGTGGCAGGGGGAGGTTCTCCTATTGTTCTTCCCCTAGCTTTTCATAATTTTTTGTTCAAAACACATAAAAAAGACCTTTAGATAAAATTTTGTGCAACGGAAAAAACCACAACGTATTTCATATGATATAAATATTATAAAACTACATACACGCATATTTACGCATTGACACAATAAATAATTGAATAAGTATACACATATTTATACATATATATATATATATATATATATATATATGAACAATATACAAATGTTTTCATTTTTATGTGGTGTTCTTCTTGGTTTATCCTGTACAGAAGTATGCAGAGAGATATGATGACGTAATACACATCAAGTAGTAGGAAATCGTTTTTCACAATAACTTGAACCTTGTTCTTCGTATTCTTTACGTGTAACTAAGAATTGATTAAATGACTCTGAATTCTGACAGAGTAGTACACCACCTTCCCAGGCATAAGTTTGAGGACTGTAAAAAAGAAAAAACAGAAAAAGGATATTTTTTTAAGAGTTAGTTTATATGACGTTTGATTTGTTTTATGTGTGATCACGAAGTGACATCAGTTAGAGAACCAGAGAGCTGGGAATAATGATGACATTCAACTCATTAAGAAACAAATTATGTCAGTTAGAGGATCCTGTGGAGTCCATTAAACAAAATAATTTGATTGTTTACTGGATTTCATCATGAGCTGACATTGGTTAGAGAACCATTAGATAATCTGGGAGTACTGAAGAGCTATTTCGTCCTATTTTGGGGCCTTTCATCAGTACGCACCCACAGGGGTTTGAATCCAGAACCTTCCGGTCGCAAGGCGAGCTCTTAGGTCATTAAGCCACTGGGACCCCATCCAATGACCGGCCTGTGAAATCCAACTTCTGCCAATTCACGGTGTAGCGCGACCACTAGCCAGTGTCATCCGTGGCGAGTATTTGTCGTCACGCCCAACCTGCTATATCCTACTGGTCATGACTTCCCACTAGAATTTGTATGAATAAAGCCAGTCGCTAGTGAGCATCAGATGGATGTTGAAGTTTTGGTTTGGAGGGATTTATGAGCCATTGAATCGAGTCCCAGAGGCTGAATGGTATACAAGCTGTTGCCTTGTAACCAGAAAGTCTTGGGTTGGAACCGCGGTGGGTGCATACCGTGGAGAGTCGCCAACTAGGACGAAACCACTGTCCAGTACTTCCTGCTGTTTTCCAATGGTTCTTTAACTGATGTCAGCTCATGATGAAGTCCTGTAACCAATCAATCAAATCCCTACAAACCAATATTTGAAAAAAATTAATAATTTGATTTATCTAATACTCTGCAGTGATTGTCAGGTTAAATACATACTATAGGCTAAATTAGTAGAACGGCGTCAGTTAAATTAGCGGAGTACAAAAACCTAGGAAAATCTAGATTAGTTGACTCGAATCAGATAAGAAGTCTAGAAAATATCTCAGTACACACACACACACACAACCATACAATACGATGGGATAAGATGACAGTTTTAAGATCTAATATAACAGGGTGGAGGGAGAGGTTGATAACAGAAGCTTTATTTATCGAATCAGTTGAAAATACGTGTAGTAGGAATGATTCAACACCTGTCCATTTGGACATCTGGAAAATCATACTGCCTCTATGACAAATAGAAAGGAAGACAAACAACTAACTATAACAAACAAAGTTTCAAAGTTTTGTGATCATGCGTTCGAAACTTCGTCATCCAGTAAGTAATACTGTTCCACTATGTGTAATATATCCAAAAAAACAACAACAAATCAATATGAAATGAAATTTTAAAAAATCTACTCTAACACATCAAGCCAATGCTAAAGGTCAGTGTACAGTGGTATATGATAAGACTGTCTCAGACTTTGTTTTCTAACACTTATCACCCTCCAAATAAAACTAATTATACTAGTATGCTTATGTTTCTAGTCTACTCAAACTTCCGAAGTAAAGTCGAAGTGACAGATCAAAGCAGATGATAAAATGCGAAGTGCGTGTGTGTGCGCGTGCGCATGTTCAACAACAAACTACATTGAATTATCAAGTGTTGGTTTGCGAGGATTTGATTGGTTATAGGTCTAACCACGAGTTAATATCACTTACAGAACCAATGGGAAACCGGGCTTTGGGATCCGATTCAATGACCCATGAATTCCAACTTGTAGCCAATTCACCATGTATAAGTGCAAACGCCAGCCGACATCATTGGCGAGTGACTGTTCTCTTACCTGACTTGCTGGATCGATTCTAGTGACTGAATAGTCTGCGAGCTCACCTTGTAACCGGAAGGTTCTAGGTTGGAACCCTGGCAGTGGTCGTGCACCAGTGAAGAGTCCTAAACTAGGTTGAAAAAGATGTCCAGTACACATTCCGGTTTCCAACTGGTTCTTTACCTGATGCGGGCTTGTGATCAAACTGAATTGAAATTCTTTCAAAGTGTTTGTCTGTGGGGATTTGATTGTTTCCAAGATGGACTTCAGTTGGAGAAACAGTGAAAATAAAGGAGTACCGGACAGTTGTTTCGCCCTTGTTTGGGACTCTTCACCATTACACATCCATGACCCCAGCCGTTAGGACTCGGATCCTAGGATCTTCAGGTTACAAGGCCAGTTACTGGGACAGAATCTAACAGCCTATCGATTCCACCTTCTGAAGGCAGCGAAAAAAATCCTTGAAAATTGATTTACTACTCACACTAGAGTGAGTGTGACTGAAGTTATTGTAGTAGGAAGTCATGACCGACGGGATCCACCAAGTTAGTTGAGTAGATGAGGACAAAAGAATCACCGATGACAACAGTTGGCAACAGTCAGGCTATATTATCATGAAATTTTAAAAAATACTCAGTCGTGGGATATTTTGTCTTCTTTTTTTTTAGTATCCTACATATATCTAACTGAAATCTTTACTCTGGACAAGGAAGTAAAAAAAGTATACTTTGACAGTTCATTTGATATGTTGTATGTGATAGGGGACAAACAGAAAAAGAAAAGACAAAAGATTGTTTGTTTGTTTGTTTTAATATTCACTCTGCCACAACCCAATATGTGTCAATTTCTTGTGGTGTTATAGGAACACTTTGAAAAATGACAGTTAGTAGTCTGTAAATTTCACAAACTTCACGTCAATAATATGTGTGTGACATGACATGCATGCGATAAAAGCTAACCAGCCAACCAACCAACCACATGATTTTATCAAATTTGTTTTTTGCTATTTCTCCGTCCCATTTATTCCATCATTATCAGTATTATTGATCTTCAGAGAGCCAGCGAGCGAGCGACCGAGAGAGAGAGAGCTGAGTGTTGTATGTACAACACATAGAAGCACTGTCACATATCTGATTTCTACGCCTACTATTACACAAATTATTATTATTATTATATCAGTGTTAGGAAGTTAAATGTCTAATTTATATATATAAATATATGAAAATAGTAGATGAGATAGGTGATAGGTGAGATACAGTGTGAATAACACAGATTCCACAGCATATAAGAAATGTAGAGTTACACGGGAGTTTCACTAACACTCCTACTACCACTACTACTAATACTAATACTAATAATACCACTATCTAAAAATCTCTTCACAACAAAAAAAATTGAAACAAGGAGCCATTACAGACAGAAGTTGACAATATTTACTGCTTTATATATATCACAATGAAATCAGATTTGAGTTTTGTCACAATTACTAATACTACTGCTACTACTACTGGGATAGATGTTATGCTGTGAAAAATACACACACACACACACAAACACATAAGTCTCATATACAAATAAGTACACATGTTAAGGGGTTGAAAGTGTTATTTCAACAGACTTCACAACAACAACAACAACAAAAAACAACGACTATCTTAAATCTCTATCTTAAATCAACATAAGCCATTTTACCTGATAGGGTGTCAATTCTCCTAGACATTAATGTAACAACTATTAGTACATCTACAACAACAACAACAATAACGGCAACTAAATAAAGCATTCTTGCCAGAACATCTGCGCCACCGGGGAACGATTTTGAGGCATATCCCGAGGACGACGCCAACCAGGAAGTGTTCAGTCTATACTGCTCTACGGGAGGGGAGTGGCTCAAACCACCTGTCAACGACTTCATGGATTGATGTTAGCCTTCGGTATAACCACTTCTAACACTTTTTCAACCGAATTCAACGTCGGGTAGATGATGGCTAGGCATGCGAAACACATGCCCTTGTGGTGAGAGCTGGCTGCTAGCCAAATTGGTAGATGGTAATTTACGTCAATGTTTACGTCGTCAATATTGGTCGTGAGAAAAATATGAACAAAGACTGATTCAACAACCAACCACAGCAGACTTTGTGTAGGCGGATACAGTTAGCATATAGATGATCTGTTGCCTGCCCCTTGTATTCTGTTGTTACACCCTAGCCATCTCAATTTATGGGTTTATGGTACTAACATCGACTGATTAACCTTCCTTACCTAACACTCTATCAAGAGGGTAAGTCAACCGATGAGGTTGGGCTATGATCAAATAGGCATTAAATCTGTGTTTGAATACCAATGATGGATTACACATTAAAAGCCTGAAACAATTTGGGCAAATTTTACACAACTTTCTACTATTTATGTGTGAACACTGATTGAGATTTACTTCATGCGAATATTACCTTTTGCAGTGTTTATTGTGTGCGTTCACAGGATCCGATATATATACATTTTTTTCCTTCACGTTCCCCAGTGGAACATAGGGCTTCAAGCTAGTGGCTTGAAGTTTCTGTAGCAGTGTTTATTTTACAGGATGGGGTTGCTAGCCACATGCCCAACCTTTCCTCTTCACCAGCATTATCACTGGCTTAGCGAGGTAAAGGAGTGCGTCTGTGGCCAGGGACCGAACCCCGGACCATGTGCATGGTCGGCGAGCGTCCTAACCACTATGCCACCGACGCACGGATCCGATATATGAGTGTAATAAATTCAAGAGTAAGAATACAGTGGAAAAGAGAAAACAAAACAAACTAAGAAACTTACTTGGGTGGTTTAAATATATTCACTGGAAGGTCGTCAGGTGCTTGAGCACGCAAGTCTTTACGCCTGTAATAAAACAACAACAACAAAAAGAGCAATAGATTAGTTCATAAGTTAGTCGAATAAATTCTATGCAAAAGAAAGCACCTCAGAGAAGCCTTTAAAGTGAATACGGAAGTAAGACAAGGCTGCCTTCCTAATATCACCGACGATACTCTTAATTACGGCGTCAGACTGTGGGGAGTGAGAAGAAAGAAGTACTCTGGACCGAGAAGATTTTCGAAAACCTGGGTTTCGCGTGTGGATGATTTGTTTATAAGGTCACACAAACTCGATGACTTGCAGGCAAAAACCAACAAACTGGCTGAAGTGGCAGGCAGAGAAGACAGGACTCCAGGTGAACATAGAGAAGACGGAGGTGATGAAGATAACTGACCAACAGCAACAACAACAACCAGCAGCAATTACCATTAACGGGAAGAATTTGAAAGAGGTTATTTCCATCACTTATCTGGCCAGGAAGAACGGCTCCAATCACAGGCGAAACGGATGAAAATGTCAATGTCAGAGTCGGAAAGACAAGATACACCTTCATCAACATGAAATCACTTTGGAAATCTTCTGAGAAAATAGAGATGGATCGGGCATACATTGAGGGAGCCGCCGAATGACATCGCGCATAATGCAGGCCATCACTCTACTGGAATCCCAATGAGAAGCGATGAGTGAATCGCCGGTGCGAGGGTGACATGGAGGATATGAGAGATTATTGGCAGTCGTGTGGCTAGACAGCTGAAGAGGACGGCAGAAAATAAAAGAAAGTGGAGATGTGTTGTTGAAGCCCTATATTCCACTTGGAACCCAAGGGAATAAAAGTTCTAATGATAATGAAAAAGAAGACATAGCGAACAACAATGAAATATGCATCTAACTTATTTTTATAAAAACCTCATCGATTAACTTTCTTTCCTTGACGCGAGTACTTTATGCCTAATCTCAATATTACTTACCGTATTATACCACATAATAATAAGAGATAGAATGCAAATACCTGTGATCAAAGACAGCTGGCCTCTTCTTCATGTCTTCTACTTTCAGTGGTCATGTTTCACAGTCATAAAGAAGGACAACGTGAACTGCTGAGGCGCAGTAACACGCATCCTTTGATGGATAGCTAGTCGGATATCACATCTACGCCAGAGATGCTGTAGGTTAGGAGATGCCAAACAAGCTTTTTGTATCCATACTGAAATTTCAACAGCAATCATCCCCAAATAACTGAAGTGGTCAACACGCTCCACCATTCAAGCTAGGAGTCAATGTAGTCCAGTCTTGTAGCATCATTTTACATCTGACAGGAGAAAATTATATGCCAAACATTCGAAGATTGTTGCTCAAAGTGTTCAGAAGACTCTGTATTTTATTAGCGTCTTCACCTAGGAGAATTATATCATCAACAGGACTATTCCTGCGTAACAGGTCAATCCCTAAGTCGCTGAATTCAGTTAAAGTCAATTCCAACATAGCTGGTTGAATTCAAGCAGAATGCCTTGATTAGTGCGATGGACTTTCTCGGCCCCTACTTCACGACTAAACATTCCCATATTACGTCTTAGTCGACGAAGTCAGTTGATCTAATGGGTCGTAGATAATTGAGAATGTAATAAACACAGTTCCTACTGACAACAAAAACTGTCACAGTAATCGTGTTTTCAAATATTGAAAAAAGAAAAATTCCAGATTGACTGAATCAAATAATTACAAATTTGAACGTGTACATAATTAGTATCAAGGATATACACACATATTAAAGAAGACATATAAGAGAGATTAACAAGCAGAGAAGGAATTCTGAATATCACATTACACATCACTGAGTCAAGACGCCCCCAAGAAGACGGATAATTTAGACAGACTGTAAAAACCAGTAAGAAAACAAATGTGGCTGAAAAAAATAATAATAATAATAACAATAGGTGAATTCACTAGTCTGAAACGATGTATTGAAAAAAAAGTGTTTGGAAACAACTTCAATTATGTTCTTAATTGAGCAAAATAAGAACACACAGTCTAGGCAGCTGACCTGATTTCACTTAGACAGTAAGCCGATCAGTTAATTAGTTAGTGTAGGTAGAAAGAGACTTTTACGATGATGTTTAGGCTATAAAAAAAAAGCACACAATAATATCTGTTGATTTAGGCACCTGTTTTGGCAATCGTAACTCAACATAGTAAAGAGGATATTTTTTTCATTCCTTTACGTTCCCAGGGGAACATAGAGCTTCAAAGTTTCAGTAGCAGTGGTTTTGTTATTACAGGGTGAGGTTGCTAACCTGACCGCCCAACCTTCCCTCTTTACCGGTCTTATTAATGGCTTAGTGAGGTAAAAGAGTGCGGCGGCAGGGGATCGAACCCTGAACGACCTGCATGGCTGGCGAACATTCTACCGCTGTGCCACTAACGCACGAAAGAGGGTAGATCACTTTATAAGGCTTGCTATCATCAGTAGCTTTATTGTCTAGAGGGGGAGGGTGTTTATCGTCGGATTTCCCAACACTATTCTGCATAGTGATTCAGCAAGAGGTAAACAAAGTCTATTCATACTTCGATTCTATTTTATCTGGTCGATATAGAGCACAAAATAGATGTTAACAAGGCGGCTTTCAAAGTTATCCACCGTATCCTGACTAATCTTTATTTATTTATACGAGTTTGACCACGGAATGATATCAGTTAGAGAAACATTGAAAACCAGCAGGGAGTACTGGACGGCCAGCTGTTTCACTATAGTTTGGGGATCATCGGCGGTATGCACCCACTGGGGACCGAACCCAGGACCATCCGGTTACATGGAAAGCTCTAGTGAGAAATCGTGACCAGTGGGGTCCACCTGGTCGGGAGTCAGGGTAAATACTCCCCGACGACATTGGTTGGTGATCGCGCCAAATAACACGAACTGGTAGGAATTAGAGTTCATCGGCCATTCAGTTGGGTCCCAATGGCTGAATGGACCGCGAGTTTGACTTGTAATCGGGATGTCCTGGATTCGAACCGTGGTGGCGGGTGGGTACTGTCGTGGAGTTCCAAACTAGGTCGAAGTAGTTGTCCAGTACTCCCTGTTGGTTTTCAATGGTTCTCTAACTGATATCAATCCGTGGTCAAATTCGTATTAACAAATCTAATCCCTACAAACTAAACTCTTGCGAATCTTAATTTAACCACAAGAGTTCGTCTGTTACATAGTGCTGAGGCTGTCAGAATCCAAATTAAGAAGCCTAACTTGCAATATTCAAAAGTAATTGGTTCAGACGCTCTCCTCACTACCCTGGTCATCTATGCTTTAGTTATCCTTAATTTGTTATTATAAATTTTCTTAACTTTATCTGATATTCTGTTTAGTATTACATGTTTATGCTTGTTATAAACTTATGCATTTTCCTAGAACTGTTACTCCATTGATCTGAACAATTCGATATTATTTAAAAAGACAGTATTGTTAATGACGGTTATGGAGAGGAAGCAGCCAAAACTGAGAACAACACGGCTGCAGAGGTAGAAGTGTTTATTCCTTAAATCTGGATTTGACCGAGTTAAACTTTAAGCACCGCTAACTACCAATGGAGTGTGTCCGCACTATTGACCATGAATGGTCGAATGAGTTTTATTCACGTGAGTTGAAGCTTCAATTCCTCTTGATTCGAATCAAATACCTGCTCTAACGCAGTTGCCTTTGCAATTTGGTGAGGACCAAGTCTTCCAGTATCGCTTAGATGTGGGTTGATTAGGAAGGAAAGGATTTGTTCCTGTGGAGGTGTGATGACTATAAAAAGCTTCAGCAGGTCTGTTGATGGATATGTGCATCGTTGTGCAATTTATTTGAGACGAGTTAGTGTCAAGGGTGATTCTAATACTTCGTAGGAACATTTTTTGCCATATCCCATCTTTCTTTAACCCAGATTTTGTATGTTTGTAATTACTTACTGGGTTTGAAAACAGCCAGTGAGAGATGCAGCCGCTGAAACTGAAAATAGTCTCGTATCAACAGTTCAGTGGTACTAGCACTGCAGGGATATCGAATCCTAGAAAGTGGAGAGGCTTACTTCTTTATCAGGGGTGGGGTTGTGGTCGTACATCTAGATGAAACTGTCTTATTACAGAAAAAATACAACCGTGGTCGAGAACTAGAGAATAATGTTTGGATGATTAGTTTATATGATACGCCTCTCTACGGAAGGGACTCGTCGAGAGGATAGCCGATAGAAAATCAAGTACTTTAATACCTAATATTACTCGACTGGTGAAACAAGGATTTATAATGCACACAGATCAGTGGAAAGGTTATAACTCCTTGTCATCTCTTGGATACATTCACCACAGAGTCAACCATTCTGATGAATTTTTTGTGGACCCTATTTCAGGGAAGGCTAAGAACCCGGATAAGAGCCATTAATGGATCGCAAAGTGATGCCATTTAGATGAATGTATGTATTACCATAAATGGTAGTCAGGAAGGCAAAAATAGTTGCCTAAAGCTATATACTACTGATTAGTTGAAATGAGTAGTTGTATTGCAGTAGCTTTCTTGATTACCACTTATGGTGTCACTCAGATCACATCAGTTGTGATCTGAATAATTTCGCTTTCCAAAGGGAACAGCTGTGGTGGAATTTCATTTAGAACGGTGTGTAAATTGCAAATTACGAATTTGTCAAAGGGATGTCAATGGTAGGTAGAACAGCAAGGATGATATTTCGTGTCTTGAAAGCAGCTACTGAACAAAGTTCGCTTGTATCTCTCTATCAGCAATCAATGTTACTAAACTGTTGACAATGTGAAAAGTAAGAGGGGGCTGCCGTCTGACACATAAGAAAGTGTATACAAATATTATTTTAAAAGAAAAGATATTCAGTCAAAAGTCTCCATTCACAATGTCTGTCTGTCTGTTTTCGATATAGAACTATGCACATATGTGCGGCAGTTCAAGTCGCCACACTCCCTCCTTGTAGCATACAAAGCAACAGAAGAAAGTAGGAGAAGTGCATATTAGAGACAGTAAACAGAAGAGT